TTTCCAACATTGTCCTCCTTCCCCATCCCCTCTGGTCACTTTCAGTCTGCTTCATGTTTCCATGCCTGTGGTTTATTTTGTTCGTTAGTTTATTTTGTTGAATAGAGTCCACTTAGAGGTGAGACCATATGGTATTTGTCTTTAACTGCTTGGTTTATTTCACTTAGCATAATATTCTCCGGTTCCATCTATGTTCTCACAAAAGGTAGGAGTTCCATCTTTCTTTCTTTTTTCTTTCTTTCTCTCTTTCCTTCTTTCTTTCTTTCTTTCTCTCTTTCTTTCTCTTTCTAAATACAGATTTATTTTATTTATTTTTTTAAATGCCAAAACCAATTATAAAATATTAAAATATTTAAAACCATTATAAAGTCTCAGCAATTAAAAAAATGACACCAGCACAGAAATAATCAAGTAGATCAATGAAATAGAATGAGCATTCTAGAAACAAACATATATATCTATCTAAAAATATAATATATGATTAAATTGATATTTCAAATAAATGGGTAAAATAAGACTTATTCAACAAATAAGGTGCATGAAATAAAACTGCTATTGCTTGAAATAAAACAAATATAGAACCCTATTTCACATGTTATACAAGAAATATTCAGGTGAGTTAAAAATCAATATGTAGAATCTAAGAAGTTTTAGGAGAAAATACAATATTTTTCTTACCCTGAAGTACAATATTCAAACCCAGAAACTATAAAGTAAAATATTGACAATATGACTATATTAAACATTTAAGACTGTATAGTAATATACATATAAAAAAGTTAAAGGACAAGTAATAGAATGGGAATGTATTTGCCACACATCTAAAAAAGAGTTAATAGTTATTTATTTTTGTTTGTTTTTAGGGAAAAAATTTCTACAAACCTTTAATCAATAAATGGATAAAGAATACCAAAAAGTCATTTAAAACTGTTTAAAAATAATAGAAATAGGCAAGAAATATACAAAAACAGGTTTAGTTTCAACAAATAATAAACAAACAATTAAAATAACCCATTATTGTCACAATCAGATTAATAAGTATTAAAAATATTGGTAATATCCAGTATTGGTGACTGTGAAAGGAGTTGGGTATTCATAGACTCTTTTTCTTCAACTTCTTGAAGTAATCCCTTTAGCATATTTTGCAGTGCTGGTTTGGTGGAGTATATTATTTTAGCCTTCTTTAGTCTGGGAAATTCCTTATTTTGCCTTCCATTTTAATTGAGAAAATGGCTGGGTAGAGCAGTCTTGGTTGCAGGCCTTTGCTTTTCATGACTTGGAATATTTCTTGCCTTTCCCTTCTGGCTTGTAGTATTTCTGTTGAGAAGTCAGCTGCTAGCCATATCAGGGCTCCCTTGTATGTTACTACCTCTTTCTCCATTGCTGCCTTTAGAATTCCCTGTTTGGTTTTTGATATTTGTCATTTTGATGATGATGTGTCTTGGAATGGGCCTCATTGATTTCCTATTGAATGGGACTCTCTGTGCACCCTGGACTTGTGTAACTTTTTCTCTCTTCCATCATTACTTTTTCAAACAGGTTCTCTATCCCTTGCTCCTCCTCTCCTTTTGGTATCCCTATTATATGGATATGATTACATTTCAAGTTGTCCTGCATTTCCCTAAATGCCTCTTCATTCTGAGTCTTTTTTCGTTTTCTTGCTTTTTCTGGGAGCCTTTTCATATCTTGTCCTGCAGCTCACTGATTCGGTCCTCAGCTTCATCTAGCCTGCTTTGGATTCCTTCTACTGTGTTCTTCAATTCACAAATTGTATTCTTCATTTCCTGTTGCGTCTTGTTGATAGTTTCTATGTCCTTTTTCATGCTGATATAGTTTGCGGTAAGTCCCTCATAGTTTCCCTGTAGTTTTTTGTAATTCTCTCTGAGCTCACTGAGCTCTTTGAGCTTTGTTATAATGATTGTTTTGAACACAATATCTGATAGTTTACTTGCCTTCATTTCATTTAGTTCTCTTTCTGGGGATTCCTCCTTTCCCTTTGAGTGCTGGGTATTTCTTTGTCTTCCATTATTTGTGGGACTCTTCTTTTTTGCTTCTGCTTCTTAAATTGATCTGTCTTGATTTCCTGACTTTGTGGTGTGAACTTCTGTGGTAGGAGACAAGCGTTTTTACTTTCTGGATCTGCCTCTGATGATGTCAGATGTTGTCCCTGTCTGACCTTAGGCAGCCTGTTTGAGACTTCCAGTAATCTACTGTTGTGGTTGTCTTCTTTCACCTGTTAATCTATTCACTCAGCACTCAGCAGGCTGGCTTACACAGCTCAGGGTGGGGCGAAGCCTCTCCTGGGGGTGGGGTTATTGGGTCTTCTGATGCTGCTGCCGCTCAGGGGAGTGGTCTGCCTGAGCAAGATGGCTGCTGCAGCATGTGGGATGAGTCAGCACCAGGATCTCGCCAGCTATTCTCTGTTTTCTCCCTAAAGCCTCCTTCCCCAGTCTCGCCTCAGGCATCTCTAGGCCACTCCGACCCCACCTTTTGGAGACCAGGGTAAGTGGCTGCAAGTAAAAATTTATGTGTTGGCCCTTTAAAAGGTTCTTTGAGTCTCCAGCTGCCTGTTTGTGGCAGAGAGCAACCCTTTCACTTTTCACAGCTGGCTGTTTTCTGTGTACTATTTGGACTGTAGTGCTGCAGCCTAGAGATCCCCACTTATGGTTTAGACTCTGCTCTTCTCAGGGGGATCCAACTGGCTGTTTCAATATCCTCCTGGTGCTGCTGCCCGTGGGTGCTCCGCCCACCTTCTCAAGTCTGTACCGCACTCCTGACCAGTTAGATTGCGCTAAAACTGATTCTTTTGTCTGTCCGAGGTTGTAAGGCTCCTCTCTGGCTATTTTTCAGTTGTTTGTTCCAGGTGATTTCTCCACAATTTAGTTGTAATTCCAGATTGGTCCTGGGAGGAGGTCAGTGTGACTTCCACTCACTCTTCCACCATCTTGATTCCACTCATTTCTGATTTTTAACGAGTCTATACATCTAACACTGCCCGTCTCAATTCTCCAAGACAATCATCTCTGGGGTCTGGTCTTGCATTTTTTTTTAAAAACATAACAAAGATGAATACAGGGGATTTCAATTTGTCCTGAAAGTCTGAACATGAGAGAGTGATGGCTGGGTCTACTTTTTCATTGATCCACCTCAACTAGCTGCATGTGTGTCTGATTGGGAACATAATTTCCATGTCACGTTCCTTCCTTCTTTCTATCAATCTTTGTGAAAATAAATAATGGAATATGTACAGCATGGGCAATTTTTTTCTTGGTATTGGCGATTACCCAAATTAACATAACATTTAAGTGTTCATTCATTTTGTTATCTAATAGGAAGATAGGTAAGAAACTCGCAAAAAAGATACAGGAAAAAATTAAATATGTAGATGCACATCTGCATGGAAATACAGATCTCTATAGATCAAAGATAGGCTCTGATGATGTGACTAATGAAACACCAGGAAATACAGTGAACTGTTGAGGGGGAGGGGGCACAGACATGAGTCCTTATGGGGGCTGTTCTGGATCCAGCCGGGTCCCCGGGGCTCATGGGAGCTGAGCAGGAATCCCGCCGTCTCTCCACACCCTCGTAATGAGAGTGGTCCCTGTGGAGATAGGACAAGCCCACAGTGGACTCATGTTCCTTCTCCCACAGGAGTTCCCTGGCCCCAGGGTTCTAAGCTGACTGAGTCTTCTTTTTTGTCTGTATGTTTGTCTGGTTTTTATTTTTCCAACCCCAAATTCTTTTGCCCTTTCTTTTTCTATTTTTTCACTGTGAAAAAATACGTATAAGAAAATTTCCCATCTTAATCATTATTAAGTGTACAGTTCAATGGTGTTTAATACATTCATAATGTTATGCATCAAAGTTATATTTTACAAGATGAAAAAAATTATAGAAAGGAATGGTGGTGATGGAGTCTTCAAAATCCAGAATAGGATTCTGCTTTGCTAGATGAGAGAACCGCGTCCCAGACATGGATAGCACTTTGTCACTGGGATTCACCTCAAGGGGGCTGAGCCAGCTCCACTTCACCTTAGACTCCCAGGGGGCCCCCACACACCATGACCCATAAATGAGGGACCCCCTTGACTCCATCTCCCACGTGGGCCTGACGGGGGCCAGGATGACTCCCCGCCTGGGTTCAGCACCACGGACAGAGGCAGGCGTGGCACCTGCTCCTTTCTCCCCACCTGAGCTGGTGGAGATCATTTTTTTTAACTTAAAAAAAATACTTTTATTTATTTATTTTTAGACAGAGAGGAAGGGAGGCAGAATGAGAGGGACAGAGACATCAATGTGTGGTTGCCTCTCGTGCACCCTCTAATGGAGACCTGGCCCACAGACCAGGCATGTGTCCTGACTGGGAATCAGGGAATCGAACCGGTGACCCATGGATTTGCAGGCCAGTACTTAATCCACTGAGCCACACCAGGCAGTGCTGGGCATCTTCCTCTTCATGCATTTCCTCCCTGCTAACCACACAGGCCCAGTGACCTCACTGCCTATTGAGACATGAGGTCCCTTCCTTAAATCTCCACCTTCATCCCCAGGACTTTAGGAAATGAACCCGTCTGTAACTATTTGATGTGTTGAAGTATAAACTGAGAAATGAACAGAAGCCTGTTTTGAATCTTCTGTAAGCTAAGAGGACTCTGCTACCCAACAGACATGAAGTTTGTCTGCATGGGTGAAGACCTGCATACCCCAAGTGCTGCATGAAACAAGAACAAGGGAAGGACATGGGGCACTGTTTGCCTCTTCATGTCCTCTACTGTGCCATTGATTTTCCCCAAATTCTCACCCTTCACAGTCTTCAGTCTCCTCCCTTCACACACAAGCACTGCCTAGAATCTCAGGCAGGGCGAGGTATGGAGATCGTGGGGGCCCCCCATCTTCTCCATCTCTTTATAGGGTGGGACTCCCCCTATTGATGACCTCATTGTTTTCCTGTCCTTTCCACCCCAGCCCAGAGCTGTCCTGGGGTGGGGTCAGCTCCCTCAGTGGACATGGGGTGGGAGACCCTCACCTGGGACCAGGAGCTCCAGGGGGTCACTGGGCTGTGAGAGCAGGAAGGGGGAGGAGCTGTGGGAGCTGTAGCACCTGTAGGTCCCACTGTGGCCCGAGGTCACAGGACTGATGGTGAAGGTGGCCTCCGAGGGGGCAGCCGTGTCCTGCAGTCGAAGCTCCAAGGGAGGGTCCAGGGAGACCTCCCTGTGCAGGTGGAAGGTGTCAGCCCTGGTCTCAGATCGACACAGCAGGGTCACGTTGGCTCCCCAGGGCCCCGGGGGCCGCAGCCGGGCCGACAGGGAGGGTTTGCTGTCCATTCCTGGGGAGAGGAGGGCGGTGCTGTGCAGAGAGTTACCCCTCCTCCTAAGATGAGGGACCATGTCCTTCCCCAGGGATGCTGATTGTGACCCCTCTCAGCTCCTCAGTTCCTCTGGGTGAGCTTCTAACCTCCATGCATCTCTCTCTCATTTTGCACTCCCTCCCCTAGACCTCGGTCCCTCTCACCCTCTGCTCCAGGACCCTCACCTGGTTCCCATAACACCCCCCCCCCAGGGACTCTGGTCCACAGCCCTGGGCAGACAGGATAGGGGGCAAAGCAGGGCTCCTCACTTGCAATCACAATGTCCAGGGGGGCGCTCGGGGCCGAACATGCATAGGAGAGACTGTGTCCACCGTAGCACCTGTACCGGCCCCCATGGGTGCAGGTCACAGGGCCCAGGGGAAAGTCGGGGCTGTGCTGCCCATCGAGACACTGGGAGGGTGTGGGCCCCTCGTCCTTGGTCAGAGTGAATTTGTCAAAGCCGGGCTCCGGGTGACACTGGAGGGTCAGGCTGTCCCCAGGCAGCAGCAGGGAGCTGGCTGGGCCCAGGGGGAGGGCTCCCTGTAAATGCCTGGGGAGAAGGACCATTGGCACCCAGGGGACACACTCACCGACACTCCACCCACAAGGGCAGCAGGGAGAGTTCTCATGTGTCCCCCCTAAGCCTCATGCCTGTGGTTCTGTCTTTAATAAACCCGTGTCACTGACCCCTACGACCTCCAGAGAATTACTAGGAACAAAGTTTAGATCAGTTCTTTAGGGCACAAGAGAGAATTGGAGCCACTTGTGGGCCACCTCACCTGTGACCTCGATGTGCAGAGTGTCACTGAGCTGTGACATGGGGGAGGAGCTGGGAGAAGCAGAGCATCTGTAGGTCTCCCCATGGGAGGTGCTCACGGGGCCCACAGGGAAGACAGCCTGCCACCTCCCATCGTTGGACCTCCATTGCGATTCCGTGCATCGGGGTGGTTCAGCCCCTCCCTCCTTCAGCAGGTGGAAATTGGATATGAACTGTGAGCTGCACAAGAGGGACACGTTCGCTCCTGAGTCCCCCACCAGCCTTGAACAGGCTGAGAGGGAGGGTGCACTGTCCACTCCTGAGGGAGAAGGAGGATGTGAGTTAAAGGGGCCATCACCCCACCTTCCCCAGGTGCGGGCTGGGAGGGGTGCAGCCTCCTAAAACCACACTCTGTTCCCCTCAGCCTCTGAGGAGGAGCCCACAGTGGGGAGGGGACCAGGGTTCTCCTTACCTGTCACCACCAGGACCAGGGTCTCACTCCGCTCAGACAGGGTGTCCCCAGCACTGTAGACACACTTGTATGGCCCTGCATGGTGTGAGATCATGGGTGGAATATGGAACCCGGTCTTATTCCTGGAGGCCTGTGGGATCCTTGTAAGCCAGGGCTCAGAGCCCCTCTCTTTATACAGACCGTAGTCATCAGCCCGCAGAGACCCCTGACACCAGATGGTCACAGGGCTGCCCTTGCTGACCACGGGGCCCGGGTCAGCCCAGAGGGAGGGTCTGGGGAGGGCCTCTGAAAAGGGTTCAGACGTGCGGTGTCAGGGGGTGCCCTTCTCCCCGCACTTCCCCCAGCTGTCACTCCAAGGCCCCTCCCAGAGTGGTCACCATCATTGCAGACCCACTATGTGTCCCCAGCTGCCCAGGAGTCATTGTGCTGAAGCAGGAGGTCAGGGGGAGGACTCACCTGCCTGGACCTGGTCCCAGGGGCCCCCACACAGCCCTGGAAGGGAGTCCCCGTGAGATCATCCTTCAACCCACACGCAGAGGCTCCAGGCCTGGTTGGGGCCCCCAGCGCTGGGGTCAGACCTGGGCTGAGCCACCTCTTCTCCCCCCAAGCAGTTCTGTCCGCAGGGAGCCTCCTGAGTCCTGGGGTCCCTCGGGACCAGGACCTGGGAGGGGAGGGGACCCACCCCTCCTCTTTTTCTCAGAACTCACTGAGACAGAAGGGCAGTGAGGGTTGGGGTCGTGATGCGTCTCCCATGGTTCCCAGTGGTGCAGGTGACGTATGACGTCCACAGAGCCCAGCAGATGGATACATGAGATGTGACAAAGTCCAGGCTCTGTGGGCCAAATCAGTTTCCTCCTCAGCTGCAATCTGCCCTGTAAAGGGTGGTCGAGGGGACAGCAGGTTCTGGGACCTTTGAGACCAGGAATGAGTCTCAGCAGACCCCACACACTCTGCCTGAGCATCATGTGCCTCCCAAATCCAGAGGGTGACGCCTGCCCCAGACCGTGAGGGTAGAGGATGCCGGGCAGAACTCAGGAGCACCCAGTCTCTGTTCCAGCTCTGACTCTGCCATTCCTGGAACCCGCGTCACCATGGGCAATTCACTTCCTTTTCCTGAGACGATGTAAATGCAAATGTCCTTCCAGCCTCTCTCCATCCGGCAACCAACCGATGTTTACTGAGAAGGTGCCTGGTCCAGGCATGAGGTTCCCTGAAGGCGACCGATTCCTCCCCTGGACACATGCCGTGCTGATTGCTGACTGTTGACATCAGAGAGCACAAATCTTTAGGCACTGGATGATGTGGGTGTTGTAGTGTTAATCTGTTGAAAAGGAGAAAAACAGAGGACAAAGAATTAGAGGACATCTATCAACCTTAGTCATGCAGTGTGAGGACCTTTTGGTGAAGGAGGGACCAACACACACTAGGGGCCAGCACAGGAGGGTTAAAGGGGACCTCGACCAGGAAGAGCATAATTATTCTACAAGCTGTGAGTCACCAGGGTGTGCTGTGCCCTTGTCCCCCAGGGCCTCTGCTCCCTGCGGGGACTCCTGGGTGTGAACTTTAAAATAATGGAAACCTTTGCAGTAAAGGAACATGTGAGCAGATCGCTGCTTTGAGAAGACACCACTCTGTGGGAACAGGCTGTAGGAGTGAGGTGTGGCTGATAAACTGTGATAAAACCCCAACACTAATCGAACACCAAAGTGATGAGCTGATCAGCATTCTATGTGGTTTACAAGAATTTCTCAGGAAACCCTAACACAAATCCCATAATACAAACACATTGGAAGCCAAGTGAATAGAGGTGGAAATGTTTCTTTGTGGTTGTTTTGGTCCAGGAGGTGTGCAGAGGACTCTGCTCTGAGCAGATGGCTCAGGGGATGCCTGTGACAAGCCCAGTGTGGTCTGACCCAGGTGTGAGTCTGGGAGGGAGGTGGGCATGGGAAGGGCCTGGTGTGCAGGGAGGAGTTGGCTCTGCTTGGGATGGAGGGTGTAGCTCAGCCCGATCTGCAGCCCCAGGGACCGTCAGGTGGAGCTGCCTGGGTGTTGCTGGAGCAGGTGGGGACCTGGGGGGAGGCTTTGTGCAGGGCGGGTCTGGGACAGGTAGGTTCAGGTGCGTGAGAGTACAGCCCCTCAGCTGGGAGGGCGGGTCTGCCGGGGGCCAGAGAGGAGGCTGTCGGGGTCCCGCCAACAGGATGTCCTGGGTCTTCACCTGTGCGAGACTGAGGAGGGGAACTGGTTCGCAGAGAGGGGGGCCCCAGGTCAGAGTGGGGGTGTGTTCATCGTGTGGGGGCAGGAGAGGGAAGAGCTGAGACCCCTCCGCTCTCTGCCTGGGTGGCCTGGGAGCCAATGGGGCCGTCCCAGGACTGACCACCCCGTGGACGGCCACAGGCATGGGGCCAGGGTTACAGCAGTGTCACCTCACCCACAGTGGGATCCACCTGCCCCCCTGGCAGGGCGTGTGGTTCTGCCTGTCCCTGGCACTTCCTCTCTCTGCCTCCCTTGCATCTGTGGGCAGGAGACCTTCTCTGCAGGTCTCCCTTCCGGGCCCCTGGGGCACGTCTGCCTCCTCAGGACTCTGCTCTGGGAGGGGATAACCCGCCCTCTGACCCTGCTCACTCCACCGCCATGTGCCAGGTAAAAAAGCCCTCATTGCAGACTATTCACAGGTTTTAATCTAAGACACGGGGAAGCATTTATTGACCGTCTGTCTGAGTCAGTCACTTCCCCTCTCCCTTCTCCTCATTGCAGACAAGGCTCAGCCTCACAGTTGTTGGGAGGATCAGCAGAGCCTGAAAGTTGAAGAAGCTCCATCTGAGTCACTTCTGGGGCCTGATTAAGACACGGGCATGAGAGGCTTGTGGCAGGAAGGGCTACTGGGAAGCCACATCTGTGTCCTCCAAGCCATGAGAGGGAATCAGAAGCTCTAGGGCATCCTTGGCTGAATGACAGGTGAGCCCCGACTGAGAGGAGACAGGGACGCAGCTGCTCATCCTGTGTCCTGGCCTCAGCCCCTCTCAGGAGTGAGGGTGGGAACCCCACCAGGGGCTGAGCCCTGAGCTCTGGGCACGGAGCGCATCTCGGACCTGGTGGGGATCCTGCCTCCCATGAAGCTGCAGGGGGACGTGGGGCAACTTCTAAGGTGAAAAGGATCCACAGGAAACCATGGGGATGGGCTTGCATTTCTTTATATTGATGTAAAATTCTCATAACATAAAACTGAGCATTTAAAATTATATAACACTGAAGGTTAGTAAATCCACAATGTTGCGGCATCATTTCTATGTAGTTTCGACAGATTCGCATGATTCCAAAATAAAACATGAAGCCCTCAGTCTCTCATCTCTCCTCCTCATCAGCCCCTGACAAGCCAGTCTGACTTTTGTCTCTGTACATTTCCTTCTCCTGGACATTCCAAACAAAGTCAGTTTCAGAAAACATGATCTTTTCTGTCTGACGTCTGCCATTTAGCTGCAGAATGTTGACATTCACCCACCAGGTAGCAGGTGTCAGCACTTTGCTCTTTGTGGCTTAAAAACCACTCCTGGGCATGAAGACATCACATGTTGTTTATATGAATGGATCCAGCATGAAGGGGTGTATAGATGCGGGTCCAAAGCAGCCACATGGAGCAGCCCCACACGTCACAGGGGTGAGAACAGGACAGTCAGGGGGAGTCTGTGATGAGGAGAGGGGACAGCCCCACAGTGGGATTCAGGAGGCATCTCCATGGGAACATGGCTCATGTTTCTGGCTCCTGAACCTCGTCTGCCACATCAGCTTCCCTGCACATTCTCAGCAGACACTTTCCCCACCTGGGGTCCAGACTGCCCTTCACCTCCTCCTGGGTCATCAGATGGGCTCCATGGCTCCCCAGCTCTGAACAGTGCCCTGTCCCCTCTGTGTACATGTCCTGGCGGCAGCGTGGGCCGTCCTTTTGCTGTCCTGAGCCTGAAACAGCAGCCCCCTGAGGACCAGCAGCACCAAGCCAGGCACACCCATGCGGATGAGATTCCCCACTGTGTAGTGTTGAGGGTGGGAGGCTGAAAAATATGGGCAAAAAGGTCACGGGGGTCAGGCAGACCAAAGTCACCCCAGGATCCAGGATGTCCACCCAGGACACCTGCTTCCCTCTGGCAGGACATGGTGCTCTGCACCCAGCCCTGTGACCAAATGTTTCTCCTACTCCCCACCCCTGGGGACTGACTTGCTTTCTGATGGGCTGATGGTGTGGGCTGCCCCAGAGAATCATGAAATGAGGCTGTGAGTGAGGACTCGGGGAGACACAAGCCTTCCTGCTGGGGTCTGCGCCCTCTGATGCCCCACTTTGCACATCATAACTTTTGCATGTTCGTGTCGTGAGCCTCTACTCGGCCAGGCTCCCTGTCTCTTCCTTGGGTTATCTCAGCCTGGGATCTCCGGAGTCAGAACTTGTTCTGGGTCACATGAATAAGAGCTGTGCCCCAAGAGTTCAGCATTAGGGATGAAAATGGTCTCAATATGGAAATAAGGAAGACCTGTGTGTTCTGGGTTTAGGGGGAGGCACAGAACTCATGAGCTTATTTGCCTACAGCAGAGAGACCCCATAAACTCAACAGTGAACCCAGAATCCATGGAGGAGGATAACAATGGTTATTATATAGAATACAGAATTTTATAAATGAGTCGGGCAAATACTTAAGAGGTAAAATAAGTGAAAATCTCATTTAACACACTCAAAACATTTTGTCCACCACGGAGAAGACACAGCTGAAGATACAAGTACGAAACTGGAAGGTAACTATGAGGAAATTTTGTAAGGTGCAATACAGAGACTGGAGTTAGAAAATTAAGATACATGGAAACTAGGAAGAGAGAGGCCAATGGATATTTGGAGTTTCGAGAGAACAGTGAGGATGGTGTCTGCTCCAGATCTGGAAACAAAGGGTTGGGCGTTTTGCAGAGAAGCAGAGAGAACGTACAATGCTAGGGAGCATGACTAGAGAAATGAAATGTGTGTCTATATATTCATGACAAGTGGAAGAAGTTGTTGGGGGCTGACTTTCAAACAGAAAAACATACTAGAGATAGGGGACATACATTCATAAATTTAATTGTGAGTGAAGAATTCTATACCCCCTCGAATTATTATTAAGGTACAAAAGTCAGAGAGGAAACATCCGTAAGTATTGGGAGATGGGGGGATGTCTGACCTCTTTGTTGACTGGGCTTCCATCTAATTAGAAGGCAAAGATGAAACATGTGGGTCCTCAATGTGCCCTGAGATTCAACAATATGAAGAAGCGAAATGCCAGTCTACCTCCCAGCTTCTCCACCTCCGTCAGCTCCATTGGGGTCTGACTGGGGATCATATATTTCCATGTCACTTTTGACTTTATATTTCTCGACCTGTTATTTTTAAAAGACATGACGGAAGGTGGGGTGGAATGTATGGCAGGGGAGAGTAATGGGGGGGGGAATGGGGACAACTGTAATGGAACAGCCATAAAAAATAAGAAAAAAGTAAAACAAAACCCCCAAAATAAAAATAGAAGACATAGCGGAATACCTATGAGGCACTGTGCAATCTTTCTAGGAGCAAGGATTATCCCAGTAACGGTAAGCTCCAACTACCCATTCAGTTTGTAGTCCAGATAAGAGTATTGATAAGAAATGGCTAAATAAATAAATGGGTGTCCTGAGGTTAAGGGGAAACCACTATCTCACATACACCAGGTGTGGGCTTTGAGGAGTAAAGCCACACTCTGTTCCCTTTTGCTGTGAGGAGGAATCCACAGTGGGAAAGGGACCCAGGTCCTTTCTGTTACCTGTCACCACCTGAGATAGAGGGTCCTTCTCCTCTGAGTAGCCCTCAGAGCTGTGATATGCACCCGAATGTCACCCTGCAGTGTGAGTTCGTGGATTCGATGGAGAAATTGGTCTTGTTGCTGGAGCCCTGTGGGGCTTTCGCAGCCCAGTGTCTAAAGCCCCTCTCCTTATACAAACTGTAGAGTCATTAGCCTGCAAGGACCACCTGACACCAGAGGGTCACCGGGATCCTCTGAGCATCTGTCCAGATGGAGGATTTGGGGAGGACCCTTGGAAAAGGCATCAGACCTGACGTGTCAGGGGTGCCCTTCTCCCCTTCAGCTTCCGCAGCTGCCACTCCAGGGCCCCTCCCAGACCCACCACCAGCCACCCAGACCTGCTGTATCTGCCCCAGCTGCCAAGCAGGGTTATCAGGCTGAAGCAAAAGGCCTGGGAAGGATCCCCTTCCCGGGTCCCCTGAGTTCTGACATAGCCCCGGAAGTGTGTGTTGACATAATCCACACAACAGCGACAATGTCAATAGACATGGGTAAAAGTGCTATATGTTTATATGGTTTTAACATTTCCTTGGAAGAGGTGACTCACTAACTCTGCCTTGACTGTGTTGGGTCAGTTATGTGTGAGAATAGTGAGAACAACCACTTAAACAGCATTTAAAGATGCATGGTTACCACACCTATAGATAAATTTAAATGGGATACTAAAAGCATTCTTTAGCCCTGGCTGGTGTGGCTCAGTGGATTGAGCACTGGCCTGCAAACCAAAGGATGGCTGGTTTGATTCCCAGTCAGGGCACAGGCCTGGGTTGCAGGCCATGTCCCCAGAAAGGGGCGCATGAGAGGCAACTACACATGGATGTTTCTCTCCCTCTCTTTCTCCCTCCCTTCCCTTCTCTCTAAAAATAAATAAATAAAATCTTTTAAAAAAATTCTTTAAAGCCAATGAAGGGCTGGAAAAAGAAAAAGATGAACAAACAACCAAGGAACAAACAGAAAAATAAAATAAAAGGGTAAACTTCAATAGTAATCATATCAGTGATTACATTATATCTAGAGGGTCTAAATGCAACAGTTAACAGACAGAGATTGTAAGGCTGGTTTATTTAAAATACCAAATGACACCTTACAATATACAGCCTGTAAGAAATTCACTTGAAGTATAATGATGTAAAGAGGTTAAAAGTAAAAGAATGAACAGTGTGGCTAAACCTTGAAAACACATTGTGCTAAGTGAAATAATCCAGACACCAAAGGCCACCTGTTGTACGACTCTACTGACAGGAACAGCGCAGAATAAACAGATTCCTAGAAACAGGATGCAGAACAGAGATGAGCCAAAGCTGGCTACGAGCCGGCAGGAGGGTTACTGTTTCATCGGCGCGGAGTTTCTCTTTGAGATCATGAAAAGTTTCTGGAAAGGAGTAGTGCTGACCGTTGCCTAACATGGTGTGTAACTCAACTCTGCCGAACTGCACATTGTAATAATGGCTCAAGGGTAAATTTTGGGCTATGTCTATCTTACCACATTAACAGAACAGAAAGGTGATAAAGAAAGGTGTTTGCACCTTACAAACACTAACCAAAAGAAAATTTAAGTGGTTGTATTTATTGGCTGTCACAAATCACCACACACTTAGTGGCTTAAAACAGTAAAAATTTATTATTTTACAATTCTGAGGGGGAAAAGGTACAATCAGAGTCTTTTGTGTAAAGTCAGAGAATAAGGAGACATTTACCTCTTTTACCTTGGTCCAGACCAGAAATCTGAAATGCAATTGATCACTAGGTACTGACCATGTATCCAGTGATACTGGAAAACTCCTGTTTAATTTGAGTAATACATCTTTATGTTACTTTGAATTTTCTATGCAAACCACTGTTTAATCTCTGAGTAATACATTATTATTCTTACCCACTCCATGTTTATCATTTTGTTTTATTTAAGTGTTTTTTTTTATTACCTCTAGTGCTCTGTAAAATAGAAGAGGCCACAAGGAAAATATGGGGATCGTTCCCAGTCATCAAGAGTAGGAGTTCAAGGTCTTAACTTCAAGCATGATGTCTAATGTTGATCGTAAACATGCCATTATAAAATAAGAAATTCCATTTTATTTCTGATAAGTTCGTATTTTCATTGTGAATTGTTGGTGAATTTTATCAAAGGCTTTCTCTGCCTCTATTGAGGTGAGAATTTCTTGTTCCCTCAATGGGTTGGATGATATTGATTTCTAAATTCAATTTATTGGGGTGGTATTTGTTAATAAGATTATATAGGTTTCAGGTGTACAATTTTATGACACATCATCTGTATATTACATTGTGATTATTTTTTAAATATTTCAAGCTTCTCTACCCTTCCAAAAAAAACCCAGTGTAGTCATTATGTATTGTCCTTTTTTTATATATCACTGAATCTTATTTGTGAATATTTTTAGCGGTTTTCATCTAAGTTCACAAGAATGATTTCCGTGTGTTTTTCCATTTTGTAATCTCCTTGTAATGTTTTGGAGGCAACATTTTCCTAGGCTGATAAAATGTGTTGGAGTGTGTTTCTTCTTTTTCTACTTTCAAAATTGTGTAAGTTTGGGGGCTGTGGTTATGTGTTATAAATACAGAAGCCAAGGGATTCTCCTGAACTGAAAATGTATATGTTGCAAAATGAGAACCACTGTAGCCTTAGCCAATACCTCCTTCCTGTTACAGAGTTGCCATTTCTTTTTGTGGTTAGACCGTTTATGATCTGCTCTCTTAGCAACACTCAAAACTATGATACAGTGTTAGTAGTTACAATCACCATGCTGTACACCAGAGCCCTGGAATTTGTCAATCTTTTAACTGAAAGTTTTTATCTTTTAACCAATATCTCCTGGTATCTTCTCTCTCAACTGGTGGTAACTGACAGTCTACTCTTTGTATCATTTTGACCTTTTTCTATTCCACAGTGTTCAGTTGTCAAACAGTTTTTTAAAATTATAAAGTCAATGTATTTAATGTACACATAAGGTATAGACATGATTTATAAACAAATTTTCTATTAATTCTCATGTCTATTTAATAAATTGTTCATTGGAAGGTGTTCATTTTAACTGCATGTTCTAATACATTGGCATCAAATTGTTTATAATGTTCTGCCATCTATTTAAGGCCTGTGAGATCTATAACACTGTTCTCATAGAGGGGACATGTGCCTTCTGTCTTTGTCTCATGTCTCTTGTGCTAGACTTTATAAGTGTGATCAATGTTTTCAGAATGAAACTCTTTGGTTTTGTTGCTTTTTCTGTTTTTGTTTGTCTTCATTAGTAGCTACTCCTTATTATGTCCCTCCTTCTACCTTCATTTAGAATAATTTGCTGTTCTTTTTGTAAATTCTTTTTTATTGAATTTATCGAGGTGACATTGGTTAATAAAATTATATATATTTCAGGTGTACAATTCTACCCTACTGGATATAGTAAGTTGGGTCATTTCTTTTAGGCTTTTCTTTCTAACATATTTGCTCCAGCTTCTTGATTTTCTTATTTTGTAGGTTCGGTGTATAATATTTGTGTTATCATTAATTTAAAACATTCTCTCCTTCCTCTCAATAATCAGTTCACACATTGATTATTGATAAGCCTATTGCTTTGACTCCAAAATGTATGGATGTCAGTTATCTTTAACTGCAAAATGAGTTGAAGCTGCTGCGAGTCTGTGTCAGGTCACCAGATTGGCCGGGGTCACTGCTGAGTGTCTTGGGGGCAGCTCCTGTGCCTTCTGGGTTCCCTGCAGGCCTCCTTCCTGGGGTGTGGGGTCTGGGCCCTTCCTGGGCTAGTGGACGGCCAGAGCAGCGTACACGCTGGGCTCAGCCGGGGGCTGCTCTGATGGGGGGGAAGGGGGTGCACTGGTGTCCCGTCTGAGGCTCAGGTAGGTCAACTGGGCATAGGTCACCTCCGGTGCCTGGAACAGGGGACAGTGAGAGGGTGAGACGTGGCTGGGGCTGGGGAAGCCTGGGGCCTGGAGAGGGTGGGACTTACCTGACTGTCTGTCTGTCTGTCCTTTTCTGCTTCTCTGCTCTTCCTGTCCAGCAATTCCTCTGACAGCGGGGAAGAAGAGGGGGCCATTCCCTGCCTGAGCCTTGATCTTGAGCGGTTCACCTGGGCATATGTCACACCCTGGGGGTCGTCACGGGGCCTGTTCTGCTGCAGAGAGACAGTGAGACAGAGACGGCATGTCCTCAATCCCACTGTTGAATCCTCCCGTCAAGCATCCACATGGGGTCAGAGTGAGGATTTAAACTTCAGGTCAGATGAGGTCACTGTCCTGATGGAATCTGCAGGGGCTTCCTGAGCCTTGGGGCATCTGGGGCGTCTGTGGTTCTGACTCGTAACCTAACCCACTGTGTCTGCTCATCTGGCTCCACCCACTCGGCCCCTCTGGCTGAAGCGCACGTCCTGCCTCAGGACCTTTGCACCTGCTGTGTCCTCTGCTCTCCCCCCTCACCACGCACTCCACCCCCTGCTCTTGCTTTATTCTCCTTCACAGCAGCTGGCCCTCCTGACGCCATCACCTGTGTGCAGGTGTCTCCCTCGCCCACAGGTGGGCTGGACGAGTGTGGGGACAGGCTGCTCGGGGCGGCACCGCGGCCCCTACATGGAGCCGGTGCCCAGGGAGTCCCCGTCACGGCGGCTGCGTGACTGAGTGAAGGGGCCCTGGGGCCTGGGGTGAGTCACTCATTCAGACCTGGGGCTGCCCAAGGTCAGACAGGGGACAAGGGGCCAGCCCAGGGGACCCCCCAGGAGGGGCCATGAGGTCCCAGGAAAGGGAGGAGCGAGTCACAGCAGGACGGCCTGGTGCCCAGAAGGAGAGGTCAGTGTGGACGCTGCTGAGAACCAGGGGAGGGGAGGACAGGGGAGGGACCATTGGAGTGAACTGGGCAACAGGAAGGTCCTTGGAGGCCTGGACAGGGGCAGGGGTCTCACCCGAGGGTCCAGCTCCACGCCCTCCCCAGGCTGTGGGTCCTTCATGGCAGCATCTGCTGGGACAGAATGGGGTGTCTCCTGGCAGGGTCCCCGGGACCTCAGGGCTGCAGACCCACTGTCCCCCAGACAGGCTGCTTGTCTAGGGCTGAAGGTCAGTCAGTGTGGATTTCAGTCCCTCTCCCCCCTGACCCCACAGCCTCCCAGGATGTCCCCTCTCCTATCACTTCCCGAAATCCCTGTGTCCCCATAACCCAGGGCAGTTGTCCCTTCCTCTCATGGAGGGGCCCTTCCTGAGCGTCTGCAGCTGGGCGGGAGTATAGACATGAGCCTCTTTCTGGGCTGGTCAAGTGGGGCAGTCTCACCCTTGGAGGATAGGGACCCCTCTATGTGTGTTTACAGAGAAAAGAAGGAAACTTTAGCACATGCTTGTACGTATGTTTCATGTTTCATGAGATTGAAAATGATGAAAAATTACCTTACATTTGTACATTTGTGCTGACATTGAGTGCTTTCTTTCAAGAATTTTTGATTTGAGATTCGGGAGAAATCTGTTGCTCAGCTGACCTTCCCCACCTATTTGATTTCCCTGCGGCAGGTGCTCTGAGCCCCTCTCTCCTGTGGCCCAGGTCACCCTGTCCCCTACTCACCCGACATCCTGCCTTTGCTCTGACTCTGGTGTCGGAGGAAGAGGAAGAGGAGGAAGGCAACCAGCAGGGCGAGGGCCACCGAGACCCCTATCAGCACCTTCCAGTACCACTGCAGACCCTGGGCTGCAATGACATCATGAATGAACCAAGATGCCCTTTCATGAGCCCCTACTGTGTGCGAGGCACATGCTGGGGCCTGTGGTTCATCTCCTCTAACCTCACAGCCCCCCTGCACCAGAGATCGCTGACCCACCGCCCAGTCCCCGGGGGCTCAGAGAGGTGAGCCGCGTGCCCCAGGGCCCCCAGCCTGGCCGGGGCAGGGCAGGGACCGGACCCCGGACGTGGGTTCCCTGTGCTGTCCCCATGCTGCCCCCTGGGGACACCAGGTCCGAGCTCTGGGCTCCTCCTCTGCAGGGGCCTGTCCTGTCCCATCCGGAGCTGAGGGTCCTGCCTTATGACCTGTCCCCCAGCCCAGCAGGGACACAGGAGGGACAGGGGTGTGGGGTGAACCCTGACAAACCCTTGGGAAGTTAGAGTTGGGCTGAGGTACTGCCTTCCTGAGCTCTGTGAGGCCCCTTATGTCACCTACTGTCACTGCAGGCCTGTGAGCAGGAGGGGACCAGGGATGAACAGACATGAACCCAACACTCAGAGAAGAGAAGGGACTGTGGGTCCCACAGCGGGAGCAGCAGAGCTGGAGTCAGTCCTGGCTCCCTCCTCTGAGCTGAGCACCTGAGCTGAGGAAAGGACCAGAGTGTCCCAAACCCATGTATTCCCTGCCCCTTCCTGTACAGGGTCACTGTCACTGCCACAGAGGGGGACAGTCCCCATAAGATCACATCCTAGGGGCCTCCCTGTGAGGATCCTCTCCCAGGAGTTTAGAGCCAGAGCTGAAAGGAATCTAAGCTCTGGGCCAAGAGTCTCTCCATTTACACTTGGAGACACTAAGGCACAGAGAGGTGGACGGCAAGTCCAAGTCAGAGCCTCCAGAGGAGTCTGAACTTGCAGGGACCCAGCCCCTGTCCCCGTGGACACACCCACCACCTCCCCACGGAGTCACTCACCGATCTGCTGGCTTGACACTGTGGTGGAGAGGGGCTGATCCTCAGAGCCTCCTGGGAATCAGCATGGGGGTGAGAGTTAGGGGCTGCCTTCTCCCCAGTTGAGCCCAGCTGACTCTTCCCCAGCCCCAGCCCCAGCCCCAACATGTCCCTCAGCCATGACCACCCCCCTATCACCTGCCTGCCTCAGAGCCCTGGTGGTCCTGTGGCTGCCTGACTCCGAGCCTCTGGGGCACAAGCCCATTCCTGAGTGTCTGGGGGACATGAGACCCCTCGATGGACCCAAAAACTCCCCTGGGCTGCTCTGTGCTCCCTCTGAGCAGGGTTCTCAGGGACTCACAAGCTGTGGGGGTGGGCCCTGTGGTTGAGGGTCTGGGGCTTTCAGAGGGTCTTGGGAATGAGGACAGAAGGGGATGAGGGTCTTGGATGAATATTGGAGTCTGCAGGTCACCAGACTCTTCTGTATCTGCTCTGTGGCTGCCAAGAAAACCCCTCTGCCCACCCACCTCCTTCCTAAGACAGGTGAGTGAGAGGGGCAGACAGGGGCAGCAGGGCCTCTGAGGGACACATGTCTTTTGATGACCATCCCTAGGGCACCAGCATTCCCCTCTCAGCCCATAACATTTCTGTGGAGCGGACTTGAGTTAAAAACAAAGTAAGACAGAGGCCTCACCTGAGACCAGGAGCTCCAGGGGGTCACTGGGCTGTGACAGCAGGTAGGGGCTGCTGTGGCTTACGCTGTAGCACCTGTAGGTGCCCCCGTGGGCAGAGGTCACAGGCCCCATGGAGAACTCTGCCTGGTGCTGCTGAGCTTGGGGCTGTGATCTGCGACGCAGGGGGGTATCAGCTCTCCCCTCCTTCGACAAAAGGAAAGTGTCCCTCATGGTCCATAACTGACACAAAAGGGTCACATTCTCTCCTGAGGCCACCATGGGGCCCGGCTGCACCGAGAGGGAGGGTCTGTCAGGGAGCCATCCTAGAGAGAGGGGGATGGGTGAGGGGCTGCTGCCCACCCTGTTCTGACTTGAGAGTCACCAGGTCCCTTTCTGAGGACCCTCCTCTCTGCCTCTCTTTTCTCTGTGTCTCTCCCTCCCCTCCCATCTCCTGCCTCTCTGCCTCTCCCTCCCTGGGGACCCCATGCCCCTTGTCCTGGCCATCGCCACCCCAGCATGGCCTGACCAGACTCTGGGCCCCTGACTGAACCCGCTAGCTCCTCACCTGCCACCAGGATGTCCAGAGGGTCACTGGGAGCTGACCATTCGGTCGAGAGGCTGCGTCCCCCGTAGCACCTGTACCGGCCCCCATGGAAGCCATCCACACTGTCCAGGGGAAAGTCGGCCGGAGAGAGCCCCGTCTGGAGCTGCAGGACAGTGCTCTGGGGGGGGTCCTGAGTCCCCTCCTTGAACAGAGCGAACCTGTCATAGCCGAGGTCCGAGCGGCACTGGAGGGTCAGGCTCTGTCCAGTGGCCACGATGGGGCCCTGCTGGGTCAGGAGAGAGGGCTTCCCTGAGCCTCCTGCAGGGACCAGAGGTGAGTGACAGGGGCTGCCCCTCCCATGGACCCTCCCCCAGCCTGGCCCCAAGTCCCACTGTCTCTCTCCGTGTCTCTGGCCCAGGAGCCCCTGTGCGCCCCCAACCCCACTTCTCACATAGGCTCCCCTCCCAGGAAAGGTCCACAAACTGATCTGGTTCATAAATACCAAGAGGGTCAAAAAGAGACTTTTTACCTGGCACCAGGAGCTCCAGGACATCACTGGGCTGTGAACACACTTGGGGTCTGTCCCTGTAACAGCCATAGCATCTGAACCTCCACCTGTGGCTGGGGGTCACGGGGCCCACAGGGAACAGGGCCTGGGACTGCCCACTGGGGTGTGGCTGTGAGTCCAGCATCCAGGAGAGCCTGCGTTCTCCTTCCTTAGTGAGAATGAACCTGTCCAAGCCTTCCTGTGAGCCACACTGGAGGGTCACATTCCCTCCTGAGGTCACGACAGGGCTGGGCAGGGCTGAGAGGCTGGGTTTGTAGTGTAACCCTAGGAGAAGCAGGCAAGGGTTAAATGGGGCTCAGCCTCCCTCATGTCCCCCAGGGCTGGGCTGTGACGGGGAGATACCCTGAGAGCATCCCCCTCCCTGAGGGCAGAGCCTCGGACTGGGACCCCTGAGTGTCCCCTCACCTATCACCACCAGCTCCAGGGGGTCACTGCATTCTGACCAGCCAGTGTGACTGTGATAGTAACAGCGATATCTCCCTGCATAGTTCTCTGCCATGTATGTGATGGAGAACTTGGCCTTGTACCCTGGATCGAAGGGCTTCTGTGTGTCCCAAAACGATGAGGTTCCCTCTTTATACAGGCGGAACTCCTGGGCCTGGACAGTCCCCTGACACCAGAGGGTCACTGGACTCCCCCAGGGGATCACAGGGCCTGGCTCAGCCCAGAGGGTGGGTTTCAGGAGGGCCCCTGGAAGGAATCAGAGTCTGGGTCACAGGAGATTCTCTACTCCAAGTTCCCAGCTCTCAGTCCCAAATTTCCACGAAGCCCCACACCCATTAACATGGAAGTGCTGCCCAGGACGTGGCCCCTTGTCCCCATGAATGATGACACCTAGGACCGCTGGCGACAGACTCACCTGCCTGCACTGGGGTCCTCAGGCTCACGCTCAGCCCTGCAAGAGAGTCTCCGTGACAGATTTGCCCTGAGTCCTGAGCAAAGCTCTGCTCCCTGGGAGCCCTTGAGCCTTGGGTCCTCACCGAACAGGGCTTCCCCTCCCCCCTCACATCTCACCGAGGCAGAGCAGGGCCGTGAGAGTGGCGGGCATGGCGTCTCCTCTCTGTCTTGGCTGTGCCGACACAGGGAACCACGGTGCCCTGAGGATGGACAGACACCCAGGGCGTGGCCCCTCGGAGGTTCCTCCTCTTCCTGACCACGGGGTTGTTATATCAGCCTGGCTGTCATTTCCTCAGCGCTGAGGCTCGGCTCCCAGCAGACTTCTGCAGGCTTTCTAAGCCCATCTGGGGGCCCATTTGACCCATAAACTGCTGTCTCACTGGCATGAACGCCTTTGCCAGTGGATGGACCCCAGGCATCCATACATATTTCTGAAGTATTTCCAATGTGCCCCACCCAGATATGCATCACTAAATATCAGAGATTTCACTCTATGCTTCCAAATCTCAGATTAGCAAAAACAAAGCAAAACTCCATCACCACCTCCAAAAATGAGAGAGGGACAGAGAGCAAGAGACAGAGAGAGGGGTGGGGGGAGAAAGGTGTATTAGTTATTTTTGCTGCCAAGACAAATCACCACAAATGAGTGGTTAAAGCAGCACAGACTTAACACCTCACAGCTCTGGAGGTCAGACTGCATCCCTTTGTCTTGCAGTCTTCACTGCTGCCTGTATCCTGGGCCTCCTCATCCTTCCCTCTTCACAGGCGGTGGTCCCATCACGCTATCCACTGCTTTCCCTGGCCCATCACCCCAGCTATCCTTCCACCCACCTCTTTCACTCCCGAGGACCTTGCGATGGCATTGGGCCCACCTGGGTCACCCTGGACTCTCCCATCTCACCATCCTCAACAAAAGTCTGTGTGTGTTCTGCTAGGGGAACTGCCTGGGACTCCAAAAGTTTCTTCCACCGACTCAGTCCCCGTGGGTTTTCTCAGCCAGAGGTTGTGGGGACTTATCTCACTGGCACTAGAACTCTGGGCTAGGGGGACCAGGCTGTGGCTGGGGCTCCTCCCTCCAAAGAAATCCCTCCAAATACTTGTCCACCACACATGGGTGAGGGACCAGCTGCTCCTACCAGTCTGGAAGGATGTGGTGTCTGTAATTCCGTAGTTGTCAGACGTCCATTCAACTTGATTTCTGACAGTTCTGAGGGAAGGTTGTTCTATAATTCCGTTGTAATTTTGATGTGGTTGTGCGAGGAGGTGAGTGGTGTTTCCCTATGCCACCATCTTGACCGGCAGTCCTTCAGAGACGTCTTTAGCCGCATCTCAGACACACCACTTCAGTTTAGTGAGGACAGAGCGCTGGGCCTGTCCTGGTAGAGGTGTGCTCATACCAACATTGATCCCACGCTGGGCATTTCATGCCTGATGGCGACGTGGCCAAGACAGTCTTTACTACAGGCCAGGGACAAGCCAGATGCAGTTTCAGAAACGAGAGTAGTTCTGTTCGGAAATGCATAGTGCGGCCACAATGCATTAAATGTCTGTGTTGTAATTCAGCAGTAGTTCCCCACTGGGACACGTTACAATGACCTCATCTACCACAATGATCCAAACACCACAGGACCCCCTGAGTCACCCAGGACAGCTTCTCCGCAGCCTGGACCTGGTGCACACACATCTCTTGCTCTTGCCCCACTGGGCAGAGGTGATGTGCCCAAGGAGGAATATGTTGTCTCCTAATTCCCAAGAAGGTGGATCAGGACTTGGGGTTACTCCTCATTTGTAAGAGGGTACGATGGAGCAGGGAGTGTTCGTCATGGATGGGATATCTCAACATGCCTTAGGTGAAGCAGAAGCACCAGTTGAATCCACCACCTGACATGCAAGATCCCACAGCTGGTCTTCAAGGACCATTTGACTTCTGCATGAGCCCACCTCACGTGGGGGAGCCACGTGGGGATGCGGATGGCGCCGTGGTCCCTGTGTCTCTCAGGTCCTTGGTGGTGGCCTGAATCCATGTGGTCCTCCTGGGGGTGCAGAATTGCTTTCGCTTCACCATGATGGTATGAAAGGGCATATCCAGGGCCTTCCGCCCGGCCTTGCCGCCATCATATCTCCTACTGCACAACTGTGTGGCTCAAATGTCTGCACCATTCGACAATCGCAGAGCTAGGGAAAGAGCCGCAGCACGGGTACAGGGACCCAAGCCATCTCCTTTCGTCACCTCACCACCTTAAGGTTCCACTTGGGCAGATGTCAGTTGCCTGATGGCTTCTAGAAGTAATTGATTATTTAACGCAATGGCACGGTCAATGATGAACATTTTATAAGGAAAAGAATCTGCTGGAGGCCACAGGGTATTATTTTAACAATAAAGATGGTGATGACGATATTTTTAAGTGATGGGAGACACAACGACAAGAAAATGGAGAGCCACACACAGATTGGTGACGCCCTCCATTCTCAGCATCCAAGGTACTTTTCAGAACGTGAATGTGCTTGAGGCTCAGTACAAGGACCTTTGTCCTCTGGTGAAACAGGTTCTTGTAGTGAACTCCACGTCCCCAGGTGTCCTACTGAGAAGTCCCTGCGCCATGACCTCCCATTTCACAGCAGGTGTCCGATTTGAATCTGCCTCTCTGGGGGAACTTCCACTGCCATCTCCCCTGGACTGCCTCCTGGACTCCCAGTCCCCAGAACCCCCTTCACCTGCAGATCCCAGCCTAGTCTCCTCACCTGGTGTCAAGACCTTCAAGGAAGTGACTGTTTTGCATTTCCTAGCAATTGTACGCTACCTACACATTCAATGCCTTTCCCTGCCTAAATAAATGAATGTCTCCGATTGGCTAAGGAGTTCGTTTCACAATTTGTTGTCATGAATTTGTAGACGATAGAAGTGAAGCTAATAAGATGTCCCACGGAATTGCAAGTCACGTCTTCTCCTGGTTGAATCATCAGCACTTCTCATACTGCTTGTGCTCATAAAAGACAGTCAACAATCATTTACATCACCAATAAATTCATTAAGTGATTAATAATTGCTTAATTGGTCACTAATGCTTAAGATTATTTATTAATAAAGAAAAGATTGATGCCACACAAATGAGTAGGATAATGAGGGTGACATATTATTAATAGTCAACCACTGATTTTGATGACTTAGTTACTAAGACTGAGTTGTAGAATATCTATGAATAAGTAATAAATTAATAATATAGTGATGAGGAGACTGACTAGGGGGAGTTTAAAGTGAAATCCAAGGGTCATTCTACAAGTACGGAATGATTATAATGAAAATGTGATTCCCTTCCCATCCCCACGGAAGAGGGAAGAGCAGGGCGGTGAGTTTCAGAATCACTGTGATGTTCCTGCCCCACCGAAGCCGAGCAGAGGGTCGAGGGGACAGAGCCCGGAGGCCACGCTGAGAAAGAGGATGTTGTAGCTTGGTACCCATCACCCCCATCCATGTGTCAGCACTGACATTAGAGGAAGCAGAAGAGCTATTTCACCACATGTCAGGCTCTGTGGTGGTCTCAGAGAAGACACATGACTTCTCCTTTTTCAGAAAAAAAGTTCCACCTCTCCTAAGCCCCAAGGCCTGTATTCCCGGCTCGTCCTGATACTCATCCAGTGAATCCTGGGTTTACAGCTGAACAGTCAAAGGTTAATGGTCTCTGTCCAGGGTCTCCCCTCTCCCCACAATGCAATGGTGCTCATCTCCTAGTCTTCCCAGGTCACTCTTGCATTAACGAAGCTTAAAGCAAGGGCACAAAGGAAAACCTTGGATGTCTCTTCTTACAGTCACTGGCCACAAAAGAGTTGATGAATGGAGATGACCAAGGGCTGGTGGACAAGGGGGTGGTGGTGGTTAGAAACAAACTGCCACAGGCACAAAGGAAGACGTTTGTCCCAGGGCAACTCATCCTTAGATGCAGAGCACGCATTTGGGGTGCACAACCACTGAAAGGATATTGCCCTTAGTGTCTTTTTAAAAATTTAAATACTTCCTTTTTTCTTAGTATTTACTTACTGTTAAATTGTTAAATCATGTTTATTCTAATACAATTGTCTCAATTTTCCCCCCTCTACCCTTTCCACCCATCCCACTCCCACCTCCAGCCCCCACAGTTAATTTCCACTCTGTTGTCCATGTCCATGGGTCCTTCATACATGTTCTTTGTCTAGTCCCTGCCCCTTCTTTCTACCATGATCCTCTTTCCCCATCCCTTCTGATCGCTTTACGTCTGCTCCATGTTTGCATGCCTGTGGTTTTTTTGTTTGTTAGTTCATTTTGTTGAATAGAGTACATTCATAGGCGAGTAGATATTGTATTTGTCCTTCACGAACTCGCTTATTTCACTTAGCATAATATTCTTCAGTTCCATCCATGTTGTCACAAAAGGAAGGAGTTCCATCTTCCTTCCTTCCTCCCTTCCTTTCTCTCTTCCTGCCTTCCTTCCCTCCTCCCTCCCTCCCTCCCATCTTTCCTTCCTGTCTCTCTCTCTTTCTCTCCCCTCCTTTCCTTTTTAAATGCAGGGTGATTTTATTTTTTTATTGTCAAAGTTAATGAGAAATTATTAAAAATTTAAAACCATTATAAAGTCTCAGCAATTAAAACAACATGACACCAGCACAGAAAGAATCAAGGTGATCAATGAAATAGAATGAGCATTCTAGTAACAAATGCATACATCCGTCTAACAACGTAATATATGATTTAATCGATCTTTCAAATCAATTGGTCAAATAAGGCTTATTCAACAAATAAGGTGCATGGACCAGTATTACTTGAAATACAGCAAACAGAGAGACCTATTTCACACATTATACAAGAAATATCCAGGTGAGTTAAAAACCGGTATGTAGAATCTAAAGAGTAGTCATAGAAGATATAAAGTAATATTTTTCTTACCCTGAAGTAAAATATTCAAACCCTGATGCTCTAAAGGAAAATATTGACAACATGACTATATTAAACATTTAAGACTATACAGTAATATACATATAAAGAAAGGTAAGGGACTAGTAATAGAATGAGAAAGTATTTGTCACACATACAGAAGAGTTAAGATTCGTTGTTTTTTTCTTTTAAGGAAAAAAATTCTACAAATCTTTAATGGATAAATGGATAAAGAGTACCAAGAAGTCACTTAA